AACCAACCTTGCAGTTCAGTTCATTATCCTGCAGGACCATACCAGGACCCCTTGGATTAGAAAACCTACCAGGTTTTCCATTAGGTGGCACTTTTCCAAACTTTTCCAAACTGCTCTACAGACTCAACACAATCCCCATCAAAACCCCAGCATGCATTTGGGGTAAAAATTGGCTGGTTAATCCTAATTTACATATAAATGCAAAGACTCCAAAAGAGCCAAAACACTCTTGAAAAAGAACAAAACTTGAGAACCTACATTATCTTCCTATGTAAAGCCACAGTTACCAAGACAGTGTGGTACTGGCGTAAGGATAAACATACAGACCAATGGAACAAAATTGAATCCAGAAATAAACCCTTAAATTTCAGATCAACTGATTTTTGACAAAGGGTCGCTATGAGTCGAAATCAACTTGACAGCTCCTAATAACAACAAATACTTCAAAAGTCACCATTACTATCAGTCTCTTGAGAAAGGGGTATTTGCAATTATTGCTAAATGAGAACAGAGTTTCTATCATAGGTTTTGAAAATAAATAGTGGTGATAGTTGTATATCCACCACCACCACCTACACCATTAAGAAAATAAAATGACAAGCCACAGACTGGGAGAAAATATTTTCAAATTATGATTTAAAAACAACATAAAAGCTTTTATACTGATTATATGAAAGGGTTTCACAAAGTTCATGGAAAAATGAAATTTAAAGATAATGAAATTTTTCCAAAAAAAACTGAAGCTCTTTCATATAAAGAACTCTTATAACTCTATAATAATCTAATTTTAAAATCTGCACAAAGATCTTGAATAGACATTTCACCAAGTAAGACATATGAAATCATTAATAAACATTAAAAAACTATTCAACATCATTAGTCATTGCTATTGTTGTTAGGTGCTATTGAGTTGGTTCCCACCCACAGCCACTCTGTATATGGTTTCCAAGGAGCGGCTGGTGGGTTGGATTTAGTCAGTGCTTACCCTATAGCACCATACCAAGATGCTACCATTAGTCATTAAGAAATTGCAAATTAAACTCACAATGAGAAACACTTCACACGCAACAGAACTGACTATGCAAAGGATAATAAAACACAGGTAAGAATCTGTTATTCTCTGCTTTCAGTCAAGATCCATTGGACATCAGCAATGATATCCCTAATTCCACATCCTCTTCTGAATCCAGCTTGTCTCTCTGGCAGTTCCCTGTTGGTGTACTGCTGCAACTGTTTTTGAATTATCTTCAGCAAAATTTTACTTGTGTGATATTATTCAATAATTTCCACATATTGTTGGATCACCTTTCTTTGGAACAGGCACAAATCTTGATGTCTTCCAGTCAGTTGGCTAGGTGTTGTTGTTGTTGTTAGGTGCTATCGAGTCAGTACCAACACACAGAGACCCTACGCACAAAAGAATGAAACACTGCCTGGTCCTGGGCCAATCTCACAATCATTGCTATGCCTGAGCCCATCACTGCTGCCACTGTGCAAATCCATCTCATTGGGGGTCTTCCTCTTTTCCTGCAACCCTCCATTTTACCAAACATGGTAAACTTCTCCAGTGACTGGTCCCTCCTGACAATATGTCCAAAGTATAAGAGACGAAGTTTGGCCATCCTGGCTTCTAAGGAGCATTCTTGGCTGCCCCTCTTCCAACACAAATTGTTTGTTCTTCTGGCAGCCCATGGTACTTTTAATATTCTCTGCCAACACCATAACTCAAATGCTTGGGTCAGGCACACCTTAGTCCTCAAACTGACATCTTTGCTCTTCAACACTTTAAAGAGGTTGTGTGCAGCAGATTTGCCAAATGCAATACATTGATTAATTTGACTGCTGCCTCCTTGAAATGACCAGGTAGTTGTCTTCTAAAGTTCCTGCCATAGGCTAGTGAGTACTTTCAGCATTGCATCCCTCTGTTGAAATATCTCAGCTGGTATTCCATCAATTCCTGGAGCTTTGTTTTGTGCTAATTTCTTCAGTGCAGTTTGTATTTCTTCCTTCAATACCATGGTTCAGGAGGTCATTCAACCTCCTAAAATGGTTGAATGACGACCAATTTCTTTTGTTACAGTGACTATGTATTCCTTTCATCTTCTTTTGGTATTTCCTGCATCATTCAATATTTTGCCCATGGAATCCTTCAATATTACAACTAGAGACTTGAAATTTTCTTTAATCCTTTCAGCTTGAGCAATGTTGAGTGTATTCTTTTCTTTTGATTTTCTATCTTCGGGTCTTTGCACATTTCACCGTCTTCTTGAGACATCCTTTTGAAAAATTCTTTTTACTTCATCATTTCTTCCATTTACTCCAGCTACTTTGCATTAAAGAGCAAGTTTCAATGTCTCTTCTGACATGTTTTGGTCTTTCCTTTCTTTCCTGCCTTTTTAATGACCTTTCTTCAGGTATGATGCCCTTCATGTCATCCTACAAATCATCTGATCTTTTGGTCACTAATGTTCAAAGTTTCAAGTTTATTCTTCAGATAGTCTCTAAATTTAGGTGGGATATACTCTGAAGTCCTTATGTGGCACTGTGGGATAATGCACTGGACCGCAAGGTTGATTTGAACCATAAGGTTGACAGTTCAAATTCACCAGCCACTCCTCAGAAACCCTATATAGGATTGCTACAAGTCAGAACAACTTAACGGCACTTAACAAACAAACAAACAAACCTACTTAGATTGTATTTTGGCTCTCCTGGACTTGTTTTCATTTTCTTCAGCTTCAAATTGAACTTGCACATGAGTAATTGATGGTCTGTTCCACAGTCTTACTTTGATTGATGGTAATTGAGCTTCTCCACAGTCTCTTTCTACAGATGTAGTCAATTTGATGCTTGTGCATCAGGCAAGATCCATGTGAATAGTCACCACTTATGTTGTTGAATAAAGGTATTTGCAAAGAGTAAATTGTTGATATTGCAAAATTCTACCATGCATTCTCCAGCATTATTCTATCATAAAGACCATATTTTCCAACTATTGATCTTTCCTCTGTTTCCAACTTTTGCATTTCAACCACCAGTAATTAAGAAGTTGGCCAAAATCCTCAATTTCTTTGGCATTAATGGTTGACATGTAAATTTGAATAACAGTCATTTTAACTAGTCTTCCTTGTATGTGTATAGATACTATTCTATAGATGAAAGTATTATACTTCAGGACAGATCTTTAAAAGTTCTTTTTGATGATGAATGCAATACTGTCTCTTCAATTTGTCATTCACAGCATAGATGAAATGGTTGTCTGATTCAAATGGCCAATACCAGTCCATTTCAGCTCACTCATGAATGCACAGAATATTGATCTTTATGAATTCCATTTCATTTTTGATGGCTTCCAATTTTCCTAGATTCAGCTTCGTACATTCCACGTGCTAATTATTAAATGGATGCCTGCAAGTGTTTCTTCTAATTTTGAGCCAGGCCACATCAGCAGCTGGAAGTTTCAAAATTTTACTCCATCTATGTCATTAAGGAGGAGGCAGCTCTTCTCCAGTTGAATTTTGATAGCCAACCTGAGGTACCCAAAATCTGGCACTCTATCAGACAATATTCTACTGCTCTTCAGGAGGTTTTCACTGGCAATTCTTCTAATAGATTTCCAGGTCCTTCTTCCTAGTCTGTCTTTGTACATAAGATCTGCTGAAGCCTGTTCTCCATGGGTGAGACTGTTGTCATTTGAAATACCGGTGGCAAAGCTTCAGCATTACAGCAACACACAAACCCACACAGGGCAAAAAAACTGACAAATGAATGGTATTATGGGATAGTTTTTCTCCCTTTTCTCTAGATTCCAAGATGTTTTAATGTATTGTATTGTTTTTAGAGTTTTGGGGCAGAAAAAGCTACATACCCTATCACTGACCTAATATAGGCCAAACTATATATACTGGGGATAAGATTGTACTGTATGCTAGATGGCAGCTTGAAGGTACTGTAAAAACAGAATCATATCCTACTGAGCCATCGCACTGACAATGTCAAGTGAGTATTTTTATCACTTCCCTTCTACATTGATGGCAAATGCACACGGTAAGTGAAGTCAAAATCACTAAAGTGCCTTTTAGACTCTAAACCTGTAAACCCTGAGTGTTATACTAACCCTGTGATCAAACCTAGTTTGGAAAAAGGAGGCCATGATTAAGTGTTTGGTCAAAGGTGGCGAGGACCTGTCCTAAAAGTATTTGCTAGTGTAAGCCGTTTTAACAGGTTCCTGTATGAAAATGATGACCTTCAATTTATAGTCAGGTTTTGTCACCACATTCACAGAGAAACCTATTTATAAAATAGCCATCTGTTGTTTGTTGTTATTAAGTGCTGTCGAGTCAGTTCCGACTCACAGCGACCCTACATAGTTTTTCTAGCGCATTAACCTGCTGCGCCATACCAGGAAATGTCATTGGCATGTGTGACCTAGTTAAAATGCATTACAGCTCAACATAGGCAAATAGATAGATACAAAAAGTGACAGTAATAACAGTGCAGTAAAATGATTCTTGGTTAGAAAGGGCATAGTTTTAAAAATGATATGTAAGCACACCTTTGAGAAACTGCAGGTTGCACTCTAGACCACCACAATGAAGTGAATACTGCGATCAAGTTAGTCACACAAAATTGTTTTCCCAATGCATAAAAATGTTACATTTACACTATCCTTTAGTCTATTATGTGTGCAAACATAAATTACAATGAAAATTACCAAAATGTCACACAGAGATATGAATGAGTACATGCAGATGGAAATTTGGTGCCAAAAGCCTTGCACAAGGCAGGGCTGCCACAAATCTTCAATTAGTAAACATGCCATCAATCAGTGAAGTGCAACAAAATGCAGTGTGCCTAGACTCCAAGGACTAAGCACAATACACAGGAAAACAGATTTGTTCACTGGCTAGGCTTAAATACACAGGGATAAGATTCATCTCTTTTGGAAGTGATGTAGAATAAATCAATGTTCCTATCTACACCATAAAGAGTCAGCATACCTGGGAACATTATTGTTTGAGTCTTCACTTTCATTTGCCAGGCCACCAAACAAATAGCATTTGTTACCATATAAAGAGAAGCTATGTCCAAGCCGAGGACAAGGAGGTAATCCAGAAGCGGGGGGCTGGGGTCTCACTTTTTTCCACAACCAACGACTTGCCTAAAAGAGAGAATAGATACACTAAAACAAAATCAGAAAAACACTTCTAAACTCTCAAGACCCGCCCACCACCCAAAACCACACATTCTCATCTAATTGCTTCTGTCTCACAGCCACCCTGTTGGACAGACTAGAACCGTTCCATGGTGTTTCCAAGTCCACAGGAAACAAACTGTCAGCTCTTTCCCCTGCAGAAAGGAGGGTGGGTTCAAACCGCTAACCTTTTGATTAGCACCCCAGAACTTAACTATGGTCCAACTAGTTCCTTAGCATCAGACCAATATATTTTAATCCAAATCCAATTAAAAGGCTCTAATATACTCTCTTGGGGGCAGGGGACAAATGACAAGTAAGCAGCTAAGTTCTGGAATTAAAATAAACATTTTAACAGAAACTCAGTCTAGTCTTCCATATTTACAGATTTCCACATTGGTTAACTAAGCTTATAATAATAAACATAAACAGTTCTAAAGTATTTTCTAAATTAAAAAATATAATTTATTGTTGTTAAGTGCTGTCAAGTTGGTTCTGACTCATAGAGATCCTGTATAGGGTTTCTGAGGAATGGCTGATGAGTTTGAACCACTGACTTACAGTTCAAACTGGACTTGCAGTCTAATGTTTATCTAGAATGCCATAAACATTACATATAGCTTACATTACACGCAATTTATGTACTCCTACTTTCTAATATAGAGTCCTGGTGTGGCGCAGTGGGCTAATGCAGCAGACTGCAAAGTCGTTGAACTGCAAGGCCGGTGGTTCAAGTTCACCAGCTGCTATTTGGAAATCCTATACAGGGTCGCTATGGGTCAGAATCGACTCGACGGCACTTAACAACAACAACTTTCCAATATTAGAAAATTAATGAATGCTATATATTTTTACCTTTAAATAAACAGACTGCAGGATAATGCACTGAGCCACAAGGTCAGTACGAACCACAAAATCCAACAGCCTCTCCTTAGAAACCTTATACAAGAATGTACTTAAGAACAACAAAGCTCATTTAACAACCTAAATTCCAAAACTTAATTCTCTGGTCATTGGTACTATCTTCATCTGAAGCTATTTTTGAATGGGTTGTAAATTGGTATGATTCACACATGTATGCCAATTAGCAGACACCCTCATAATTACAGCCTGGTACACAGACACGTTCAGGAAGAAAAGTTAATTCGGGCTGTTGAAGAGAGTCCAACTTAGAAAGTATGAATCCACTACCCTTCTTTTACATGTAAGAGGAAAAGCGACAATTGCTGTAAGGATAACTAAGGCAGTGGTTCACAGTGTGGTCTGGGGACAGCAGTATCAGCTAGCAACCTGTTAAAAACACAAATGCCCAGTTTCATACCACAGATCATTCAAACTGGAAACTCTAGGGACAAAGCCCAACAATCTGTTTTCACAAATCCTCCAGGAGCTCCTGTGTAGGACTAAAGTTTGGGACTACAACACTAAGACATAACTGATACTATGTGGCAGACTTCCTAATGATACACATGTTGCACTGGGGATTGAAAACAGACCTAGATCAGAAACTTTTAACTATTTGGTGAAGTAGAAACATTCTTTTTAGAGGTTGCAAAATGTGAAGCACACACTATTAAAAGTAGGTTAATGAGAGAGTTTACATTGTTCTGAAGAGCTACTTAAGTTTCAAATGGAGATAACCAATTTAAAATACACTTACTTGTAATTCATATAACTCATTGCTGTATCTTCCATATTCTACCATTCCCCCAAAAACTAATATTCTGGTACCATCACAGACAAATCCATGGGCAGCACAGCCTGGAGGGATGTCTCCTCTGACAGCTGGTAGGAACCATTGATTGGTAACTAGTTGTCAAAATAAAATGAAAACAATTGTAATAAGTAACAGCTACCACATACAGTGTGATAAATCCTTTATGCATAGTATCCCTATCAGCGTGTTGTCAGCTCAGAAAAGATTTTGCTACCTCGGGGTCATTTGGCAACGTTTGGGGACATTTTTGGTTGTCCTAACTGGGGGACAGAGGAGGAGAATGCTAAGGAGAGAATTCTACTGGTATCTAGTAAGCAGAAGTTAGGTATGCTGCTAAATGTCTTACAGGCAAGTCCCCCACAACAAAGAGTTAGTTACCTGGCCCCAAATGCCAATAGTATTGCCCTCGAGAAACCGTGATCTGTAGTACATCATTTCTTACAAAAATCCCACTGGATGGGTATCATCATTTCCATTTTATCAAAGAAAACTCTGAAGCTTAGAAAGGTTTAGTAACTTGGGACTTTGCAGTGGAGTTCAAGCTAGGACCGTCCTCTCTCCGGGGACCCGTCCTGAGACTCAATGGGGTGCACGCACCCAACACCTCCCTCACCCACAGCCACTTCCCCGCTAGTTCAGGAGCTGCCAAAGGGGTAAATGTTGCCTGCCACCTGCCAAATCCCGGGCTGTATTTGGGTTGAAAGGACACAATGCCTCTTAAGGCTGGCTTCCTCCTGAAGGAGTCTGCAGGTAGGCAAAGATGCGCTGGCCCCGCGGCGCTTTAGTCCGAGCGGGTTCGGTGTTTTGACAGGAGAGCGGGCCAGACTTCGGGGAGAGGCCCAGGCGGGTGGAAAGTCTCGTTCACGTCCGCCAGCCCGGCTGGGCGGGGAAGAGGGGCGCGCCCCGCTCGGGGTCCGGTCCCGCCCCGCCGGCCCACAACACCGAGCTGCCGTCCAGCACACCGCGGGAGCGGAGGCACCCGGCCGGGGAGCCGGTTGACCGCGGTGGCCCCCGGGGCCGGGCAGTGACAGCTGTCAGGGCTGCGGTGGCCGCCTCGCCTCCCCTCCCCCTTCGCGGCTTCGGAGGCTCAGCCAAGGAGCCGCCGCCGCGCCTACCGGTGTTGTAGACGTGCAGCTCGTCCGCGATGCCCTCATTGCCCCCTCCAAAGATGATCATCAGCTCCCGAATGGCCACTGCCCGGTGTCCGTGCCGGGCGCGGGGAACCGGCCCCGTGAAGGAGGAAACCCGCCTCCAGTTAAGGAGGCTGGGAGCCGCCATCTTCCCAACCCCCGCCCCTCTGCCCACAATGCACCGCGCCCGCTCCAGCGCCGCCGCTCCGGGGGAGGGGGGGGCCCGCCTCCAGCTGTGCGGCGGGAGGGCGTCACGTGACCGCGGGCGCCTGAGGCCAAGCTCGGGGCCCACTACGGGGCGAGGAGGTTTGGCACCGGAGGCCCCATCCTGCCTCCTCCACCCCAGTTTCCCTTTTTCCTCACCCCAGCGGGCGTCGCGGCAACCCTAGGCGTCCTTGGCAGCGAGTTTTAGGGAGACAGACTTTTCTTACCGATCAAGCCCTCCTCCCCACCCACAGCCTCTCGTTTTGTATCTTCAGGGGAAGGGACGACCACTTTCATTGAGCATCTATGACGTGCCAGGCTGCGCTGGTCTGGCCCCACGGAAGGACGTGGGACGGTGAAACGTGTGGACACGCTCAATGCAGCGGGGAGTCAGACCCTTTAAACAGTAACACGGCGTGAGGAAAGTTCGAGTAAAGGAGCGAAGTGCGGCGAGCGCAGGGAGGTTACAGAAGACCTGTCATCGCCCAGGGGGCGTGCACGCGAGGATGCTCCAGACAGACAGAGGGCATCCTGGTGGACCTTGCAGGGAACTGCCCGAGTAGGACGGGGAGTCTGGACAGTTAGCAAAGCCTGAAAAGACAAACCAATGTCGTGCCAAGACCTTTAGGAACGGTGGCCTATGAAACGATTTTTTGATTCATGTAGTTTAAGCAGGTGACAGTCATGTGCAGGTTTTTTTCTTGGCACTATGGGTTAATGCGCCAGACTGCAAAGCCATTTGAACTGCAAGGTCGGCGGTTCAAGCTCACCATGTGCTCCTTGGAAACCCTATACAGGGTCGCTATGGGTCGGAAGCTACTTGATGGCACTTAACAACAACAAGCCTAGCTAACATCTGAGACACTCCCATTGCCAGGTACTTAGATATATTCGCCCACTTAATCCTCCAAATAATCTCCTGTGAAGTAGGTACTGTTGTTGTCTCCCTTTGAAGGGTGGAGAAATGAGGCACTGAGAGGTAGGATTACTCCCCCATGGATGTACAGCAGAAAGAGGTTGGGACCAGGACTCAAACGCAAAAGTTCTGATTCCGGAGCCCCTACCAAACTATTGTGCAGTACTGCCTCAGATAGCAGTTATATGGGACTCACATCAGACCATTGCTTTGCGTTCATGGCCCTCAGGTGACACAAATGGTTAAACACTCAGCTACTATTAGAAAAAGGAGCTCTGGTAGCGTAGTGGTTACGAGTCAGGCTGCCACCCTTCGTTCACCTTTCTGCACCAGATCACCTATGTATACTGAGAGAACATTGAGTGCAATAGATTTGAGGAGAATGTAGTGGTTATGACTCAGGTTGCTAAGTTCAAGGTCAGCAGTTCGAAACTACCAGCTGTTCCACGGGAGAAAGATGAGGCTTTCTGCTCCCGTAAAGATTTACAGCCTCGGAAACCCTGTACAGGGACGCTATGGGTCGAAATCGATTCCACGGCACCTAACAACAACAACAACAACTATTAGAAAGGTTGGCAGTTTAAAGTTACCCAGGGGTGTCTCTGAAGACAGGCTTGGTGATCTGCTTCAGACATAAGAGGTCATCATGAGTTCAAATCAATTCCACAGCAACTAGCAATGTTCTGTGATCCAACACAGAATTCCACTTAAAAAGATAAAAGTTCAACATAGAGAAAAAAAAACAATGAAAACTCCTGCCTAAACTCTCAAGAAGGTACCAAAGAGAACAGCACACAATGTACTACAGCAAATTTCCTGAAATTCTTTTTTTTCTCATCTTTTGTCATTTTCCATTTCTCTTATATGTCTCAGGAAAAAGAGAAACTTTCTGCTCCCTTACAGATTTACAAAACCTGATACAGGGTCGCTATGAGATGACAGTGCACATCAACCCATATGCCTAGTTCATCTCTAGTAACTGCCTCAAACCTGAACATCCCTCTTCACCTTCTCATCTACCTAAGCTTACTTTTATTTCTGTTTTAAATCTTACATACATATTTTTTACGTTTTTATCATGACTTGAGTGATAGTTGATATGGGAGAACATCAGTTTGCACTCATCCTATCATATTTCATTTCATTACAATGATTACAATCCCCTCCAAGCATCACCATTTAACAGTATTTGCTTCTATTCCCCCTGTTTTGTTTTGTTTTTGTTTTTTTGTTTTTTTTTTTTGTTTTTGGATGTACGCCGAAACACTCAGGATAATATAATCATTTAAACAACCAAAGGGTACATTCTGCAAACCTGCCTCCCAGCTGCCAGCTCTCAGTCCCTCTCTTTCCATGAGTCTAGAGTCCTCAGCTGCTCTAGCTCTCCATGTCCTCAGCTCTGCCTCCATCTATGGTGTCGCTGCTTCTCTGCTTAGGGTACCACACTCTGCTCAGGCTCTTCTCTCTTGATGGTCCTAGGGCCCCTTGTTCCTGGACTGTAACACTCCCTTTTTTGTTACAAAACTTCTACGTTTACAATTGTGACAGTCGCAATTAGTCATGAGAACAATTACTATTGAATCATAAGAATCTTATCCCCATTGCCTTTCATCAGACCCATCTAGACAAGATGAAAACTATTCAGTGGGGATTCTACCTCCCCACACACACTCTGAAACTAAACTCCCTCTTGAAAACTTGTAAGCCAGTCACTTTGTGCCTTTATTGCCCCCCATTTTAGGTAGCCAATGTCTAAGTTGGCCTAAGCTTACTTTTGAAAGATAATTCTTTACCTTTGAATGAAGTCTCACTATTTCCTCCAGCTTCTGCTTTTCAAATTCATCCAAGTACCCAAAACTCATAAGGACAAAGAGAATTTAGCTAGGAAGAAAGGTGACTGGGGAACAAAGGAAAAAGTTTATGAGTACTTATGCATTAATACTTCACCTTGTTACTTATATTACAGGGGCTCCCAAATGTCCCTGTTAAAAATTTTTCATATGACTGCAGCAAAAAAACAACAACAAAAAACAAAAAAAAAAAACACCCCAAAACCGGAACTGTTTGGACACAGAAATAAGTTTGCTCATGAAATCAAGTATTTAAAGGACTGTAGCTCACCAGCTGCTCCTCGGAAACCCTATACAGTGTCGCTATGGATCGGAACCACACGACAATAACAACAATTTATCCTGAGAATATGGTGTTAAAATATGCTTACCATTATGAATGATGATATAAGGAGATGTTGGTTGCAAATCCTATGTTAGTCAACAAATTAAATAAAAGATGTGAAAATCTAGGAACCACTTAACTAGGGGAAGATGAAGGCAAAGTATTCTTAAGATAAGATTGCAAGTTATAACTGGTGTCTTACATAAGACACTACAGGACTATGGAGGAAGTACTTACTCTAATGGGAAATAAACATTAACAAGAGCACTTTTGACACACCTCTGCTGAAGTGAGGCATCTAGAATAGGACTCCAATTGTCAAAAAAGTTACCCTCAAAATGAGTCACTGAACCTGAGCGTTCAGGACCATGGTCTTGGGGGATATCAAAGTCAAATGGCATAACATAGTCCAAGAAGACAATGTTCTGCATCCTATTTTGGTGAGTAGTGATTTAAAGGGGTCTTAAAAGCTTGTGAGCAACAATCTAAAGTGCAACTATTGGTCTCTCCCTGTCCAGAGGAAAGAAGAGTGGAGAAAATCAAAGGTTCACAGAAACAATTAGTCCAATGGACAAAAGCATCAGTCTCTAAAACCCTGAACCAGAAGAACTAGAGTCTGTCCAGCTACCAGTACCAACTGCTCTGAAAGGGATCACATTAGAAGACCCTGGATAGAGTGGGAAAAAATTCAAAATCACAGAAAAAGACCAGGTTTACTGGTCACATAGAGACTAGTGGAACTCCAGAGACTGTGACTCTTTTCACACCCTTCAGGTCCAGAAATAACGTGAGTTCACACCCTTCAGGTCCAGAAATGAACATGAGTTCACACCCTTCAGGTCCAGAAATGAACCTGAGTTCACACCCTTCAGGTCTAGAAATGAATTCACCCCCATGGATCAGTTTTCAACTGATAAATGGTTGTAAGGGGAACAATCACACCTTAGAATTATCAACCATTTGAGATCCAAAGTGCAGCATTTACACAAGGACAAAGTTCTGAAGGGTTAGGAAAGGAGGAGGAATGGAAACAGGAAACACAGGGAAGAAGTAGGATAAATGATGTCCCATTGTGGGAATTACAATCAATGACATGAAACAAAGTGTGTGTGAATTGTTGGATGTAAAACTGATGATCTGCTGTGTAAATATCACACAATTCACGAAAGTTTTTTGGTTTTGTTTTTTCAAATTTTTAAATAGCTTTAAGTATGATAGATAAGATAACTTGAGGCATTGGATCAAAAAAATCAAACCCTGATCAAATTACTATCAGTGTAATATTTTCAGCTCATGAGTGCATGTGGATTTTTGCTTACCAAAGATCATTTATAGTAAATACATAATTTTGCATACTTAGCTATAGAGTAGTTTCCAGAACTTGGGTGGGCTTCCATTTGATTAATTCAAGGCTTGTTGTGTTTATATCTGTCTAAATTGCAAGATGGTTTTACTGCTTGTTCCTTCTATTTGTTAAGTGCCGTCGAGTTGATTCCAGCTCATAGTGACCCTGTGCAGGGTGTCCAAGAAGTGACTGGTGGATTAGAACTGCCATCTTATGGTTCATATTGACCTTGCAGTCTAGTACTTAACCTTCAGCGCCACAACTCTACTTGTCTCCCTTTACCCTCTATATGTGGATGTGTAACCCACTGCCGTGGCGTAGATTCCAACTCACAGGTCAGAATAGAACTGCTCCATAGGGTTTCCGATAAGAAAGTCCTCATCTTTCTCCCTAGGAGTGGCTGGTGGGTTTGAACTGCTGACCTTACAGTTAACAGCCCAATGCTGTGGGGTACCCTCTGTATCTTTTATGTGTACATATACTTTCTGCTATGAATAAGTCATTGAAA